TCACCCAAGCCCTGTATCCACTCCTGCGCCCTCACCCAAGCCCTGTACCCACTCCTGCGCCCTCACCCAAGCCCTGTACCCACTCCTGCGCCCTCACCCACGACCCTGCCTACTCCTGCGCCCTCACCCACAACCCTGCCTACTCCTGCACCCTCACCCACGACCCTGCCCAGTGCTGTTGCCCGTACCCAGACCCAGCCCAGTGTTCTGTGTACCTGCGTGGAGCCTGTTCCCATGTCGGTTCGATGAAGCAGCTGTTGGACTGCGACCAGCTCGGTTTCTCCCCAATCTCTTCCTGGCACCGTCCTCGTGGTCTCTGATCCAGTGAGACTCCTGCCGCTGGCTGCGTGGCAACTTCCTGTCAGTCACGTTCTTTATCGAGTGGATCAAAACATTCCATCAGCGAGAAAATAAAACATCCCTCTTCCTCTTTCACCACAAGAGCCGCAAAAGCGTCAAGGCAAGGCTAAGGACATCACTAGATCACCGTGAAGAGGCCCCCACCCCTACAGCTAGATCAGGGGATTCCCCTGACAGTGGGATCACTTTGGAGGGATTCCCCCCACAGCTAGATCACTGTCATAAGATTACCACATGGACGGATAACACAGTGTAGAGCTGGATGAACACAGCAGACCAAGCAGCGTCAGAGGAGCAGGAAAGTTGACATTTTGGGTCAGGACCCTTCTTCAGAAATGGTCGGGAGGTGGGGTTGGAAGCTGGGAAATAAACAGAGAGAGAGGGAGGAGGGGTAGGGCTGGAGAAAGTAGGTGGGACGGCGATAGGTCTCTGCTATCTCACCATATGGAGAGATCATGGTTATGGGATCACCATTGCCACGTGATCACTGTGGAGGAGGATCCTGGCTACGGAGTCACTGGGGAGAGATCCCCCACCAACCCACACCCAGATGAAACCAACAGCAGCTCCACCGAATGCTACACCAGGATCAGGGAGGATTCTGCATCTCACCTCCATCAGCCGTTCTCCCCGCACCTTTCGAGCCTGGAGTTGTAAAGGGCAACTCTTGGCCTCTCGCCCGTTTGTAGCCCTTGGTGCTGGCTCATCTCTCTGGTGAGTGTCGGCCAAGTGAGGGGACAACGCCTTGCTGCTGGTGGTATCTTCCTGTGCGCCCAGGCCAGCTGGCGCTGTGCGATCCTCGCGAGGGTCACCAACCAATGGGGAAGATAAGATCCGTCGACTGTTCGAAGAGATTCCCACAAGATCCCCTCTGTCCGTTTCCAGAGACTGATTCCCTTGGGAAGCCGGAGGTGACTGGCTGAGGTGTCTCAGGGAAATTGGATCTTTTCCTTTCCGTTTATCCAATACATAATCAATAATGGCGTCCGCCTCTTTATTGCCCAGGCGGTAATGGAGATGATTTTTCTTGGCCAACATGGAGTGCAATGGGAGTTTCCTCTCTTTGACAGCCAATGGAATTTGGGCATGCTTTCCCTTCTCTTCAACAGCCAATGGAGGCTGGGCATGCTTCTGCTTGCTGGCAATCGGCCAATGGGCTTCCTTCCGCTTCAGATCCACCGGACGTTGGACTGGCTTTTGATTGTTGGCCCCTGGCCAATGGACAGGCTTTACCCTCTCTTCAGCATCCAATAAGAAATGGACCTGTTTGACTTTGCCCTTGGTGCGTGGTGGATAATGGGTGGGGCTTTCACCGATGGCCAATGGGTGAGGGGCAAGCTTCTGACTGACAGCCAACGGTTGATGAGTTTGTTGGTCACCAGCAACAAATGGACGATGGTTTTGCTTCTTCCTGTCTTCAACAGCCAATGATTGATGTTTATTCGCTTCCTTCAGTCTCCCTTCCCGTTCTGGCCGCTCTTTGGGATCCAGTGGAGGGTGGAGATGATTGGCTGTGGGTTTGATATCCAAATGGCCGTGAGGATCCCGCGGGGGATCCAATGGCCTGGCATTTCCCTGGCTTCGGGGTTGGTGTCGGATGGGGTCCTGCCTCCTCCTGTCCCAAGCCTGGGGCTCAGACAGCCCTTGGTCTCTGTGTTGGGCCCAGATGGGCCGATGGCTTACCTCGGACCTGGCCCGGGACTCGGGGAGCCGGTTCCGTTTCCGACGCTTTGTGTGAGACTCGGAATCGGAGGCGCTCCTTCGAGTCAGGTCAGGGCCTTCGCTGGGATGGGAGCCAAGGAACGCCCCGGAGGGATCAGATCCCTCCTTTGCGCGAGAGCGGGCAGGCTTCGGTGCTCGGCGCTCGCTGCCCTCGGTATAACTCAGTTCTGACCTATATTCCCGCCTCCGGCCGGCTCTTTCCCTGTCCCTTGCCGCTCCATGGAGCCCGTCAGTGGGCAGCGGCCTGGCACCAGGGGCGTCCTCTGAGAGGGCCTGGGATGCCTGTCCAACATGGCCGAGGGTCCACTTCAGAGATGGGCCGCTGCCCAGTCGCTCGGTGAACGGCAGTTTCCGAGGAGACTCATCGTGGTCCCTCTCCCCGGCTTCTCGCTCCAAACCCTCGTCTCCGTCAGCCACACTCTGGTACCATCCAGCGCCCACCTCCAACTCACTCCAGACAAGGGGCTTGCGTGACCGGGGTTGACCCCCATGCTGGGAAAATTCTCGCCGCACAGGAAGATTCCAGTCATCCGGTGAATCTGGGAGATGGGAGATAACAAAAAGAGAGAGAATTATTCCTAAAACCACCTTCATCCTCCGAAGGTTTGGAAATGACATCGAGCTAAATGACACAGAGCTTCCCCACCCAATAAAAAAAACGAACGCACCCCTCCACCCCACCCCACCCCCAGAATGTTAGTTACCGTGCCTCCCCATCGCGGGCTCCTTCTGATCCTCACGGTCCTCGATGTGTCCTCCTCTCCCCCTCTCAGACCTTCGCAACCTGCCGCTGTTCTCCTGTGGATTAAATAGGACCGAAAGGAACAGTTTAAACCCCAGAGCGACCTCTCGCCTGGAAACCAACCACCGCTGAGGAGGCAGCATGAGCTGCAAATGCTGGAGTCAGAGACAACGCAGTGTGGAGCTGGATCAGCAGCAACCCTCCCTAACCACGGGCTCACTGGGACAGTGATCAGGTACGAGATCCCTCCCTAACCACGGGCTCACTGGGACAGTGATCAGGTATGGGATCCCTCCCTAACTCAGGGCTCACTGGGACAGTGATCAGGTACGGGATCCCTCCCTAACCCAGGGCTCACTGGGACAGTGATCAGGTATGGGATCCCTCCCTAACCCAGGGCTCACTGGGACAGTGATCGGGAACAGGAATCCTCCCTAACCCAGGGCTCACTGGGACAGTGATTGGGAACAGGAATCCTCCCTAACCCAGGGATCACTGGGACAGTGATCGGGAACAGGGATCCTCCCTAACCCAGAGCTCACTGGGACAGTGATCGGGAGGTGAAATCTGGTCTGATCCTCTAATGCTGGAACTGCCTGTTGCATGGACAATTACTGGAAGTTAGCATCAAACGTGGCAGTGGCCCAGGGAGAACGTCAGGGAGAATCCTCGCCAGCACAAAGCCGTTACCCGTTATCACGGTTTTGGGAGCAATTCCGCGCATGTCCAAAGGCCGTGGGTTCAAAGCGCGCTCCAGAGACCAGAGCACAATTCCAGGCAGACCCTCCCAGTGTCGGAGAGTCGTACTGTCCACACTTTCAGAATATGGGGTAGGCCGATTTCGGACTGAGGGGAGGAGAAACGATCGAGCGGCGAGCCTTTGGAATTCTGTCCCGGGAAAAGGTCGGTGCCAAAACATTGAATGTTCTCAGGAAGAGTCCCAGACTGTCGGAGGCTCGGGGGAGGGGGGGCATTGTCCCTTTAGCTGACTGCATTAAGAACGGGTGAATAGGGTTGTGAGCACCACTACGGTGTTTGGGATCCTGGCAAACACAAACTGGCTGCTGAATTTCTAACAATGCCACACTGGCCCCCTGCCTCACTTTGGGACGTGCTGACGTTGTGGAAAGTGCTACAGAATTGTGAGCCCTTCCTAGTTTCTGGCCTCCAGCACAGCAGTCCCAACAGCGAGAAATAATCTAACCTGTGCGCGCTGGAGCCTCCGATGTTTGCTGGCCTCTGTTCGCTGACGTTCCTCCTGGATGATCCGAGGGTAATCGCTCTCCATGCTCTCGCTGTCCAGGAAAGAGACAAACGGGTTAAAATTCCCTCAGGTCCCATCGACACTGCACCGAGCTCAGAGGATCGCTGCGCCTGCCCCACTGGAAGGATCGCGTGTGGTTCTCTGATGACTGTGCTGCATCTTCCAAACCCGTGGCCCCTTCCATCCAGAAGGACAAGGGCAGCAAATACAATGGGAACACCAGTCCCATGCAAGCTCCCCTCCGAGCCCCTCACCATCCTGACTTGGGAATATATTGCCGTTCCTGGATCAGAATCCTGGAATTCCCTCCCTAAGGGGCATTGTGAGTCAACCTACAGCACATGGGGACTGCAGCAGTTCTAGAAGGCAGCTCATCCCCACCTTCTCAAGGGGGGCAACTAGGGACACGGCAATAAATGCTGGGCCCAGCCAGCGACTCCCACATCCCAAGCACATCCTGCACGCACACTGAGGTTTAGACTGGGGGTGGGGGGCAGAAATCAGTGACAGGTTCAGTTTAATAGGTACTCGCTCCGATTCTCTACCATGTCAAACAGCTCGATTCCTCTCTGCCCAGGATCACATTGAACATACAACAGAGAAACAGGCCATTCAGCCCAATTAGTCCTGGCTGGTATCTATATTCCACTCCAGCCTGCTTCCATCTTACCTCACTCAAATTGGCCATCAAAACCCTTTCATTCCTTCCCCCAACCCCACCTCACACACTGATCTAGCTTCCTCTTAAACGCATCAATATTTCTCCTATAATCCTGCCTGGAGGTATCAGTGACTAACTTACTGGAAGTTCGATCTTGTTTGTGGATCGCAGTATCAAGATTGAGATCAACAGCCACAATAATTTGCATCCATACAGCACCTTTAATCCAGAGGCTGGGAATCCTGCAGCAAGTAACTCCCCTCCTGACTCCCCAAAGCCTGTCCCACCATCTACAAGGTACAAGTCAGGAGGGTGAGGGAATACTCCCCACTTGCCCTGGATGGGGGCAGCTCCAACAACACCCGGGAAGCTCGACACCATCCAGGACAAAGCAGCCCCCGCTCGATTGGCATCGCATCCACAAACATCCCACTCCCTCCCACCACCGACGCTCAGTAGCAGCAGTGTGTACCATCTACAAGATGCACTGCAGAAATTCACCAAAGATCCTCAGGCAGCACCTCTGGCCCAGGGTGAGCAGGGATAGGTAATATATGCTAGCACAGTCAGGGATGCCCACATCCCACTAGGGAACACAAAAATCACCCAGTGGTGCTCCAAAGGATCATGACAATGAGAATGAATACTCACCCACAGGAGGAGAAAGCAGGGCAGATCACCATCACATGGTAGATCCTAAGGAGTCACTTACAGGTGGGGTGGGGGAGGGGTGGACACATTGGAGAGGTTTGAGGAGGAGAATCCCAGAGCTCGGGGCCCAGGCAGCTGAAGGCACGGCCCCCAATGGTGGAGCGATGGGAATCGGGGGATGGTCAAGAGGCTGGAATTGGAGGAGGCGACAGA